CCATTGTGTTGGGATGAAGTGGGGGAAAGAAGTATAACGGGCCCAGAGTTGGTTCAGCAGTCAGTGGAAACGGTAAAGATTATCCGGGAAAAGCTAAGAACAGCTCAGAGCCGTCAGAAAAGTTACGCAGATCGACGGCGTAGACCGTTAGAGTTTCAGGTTGGCGACCATGTGTTTCTTAAAGTCTCGCCGATGAGAGGACTGTCTCGGTTTGGCAAGAAAGAAAAACTGAGTCCAAGGTATATAGGCCCGTTTGAGATTTTGGAAAGGATTGGGACGTTGGCCTACCGTCTCGCCTTGCCACCGAATTTGTCGCAGGTTCATAACGTCTTCCACGTGTCAATGTTGAGGAAGTACGAACCAGGTCCAACCCACGTGCTAAATCATGAGGTGGTAGACGTGGACGATAGGGTGTCGTACGTGGAAAAGCCAGTAAGAATCAAGGACAGAAAGGAGCAGGTTTTGAGAAACAAGACTATTCCGTTGGTCAAAGTTGTCTGGGAACATCACGGGACGGAAGGCGCCACCTGGGAAAACGAGGAAGTAATGCGACGTCAGTACCCCAATTTATTTGAGTAGTTGGGTTAGATTGTAAATTTCGAGGACAAAATTTTTGTAAGGGGGAAGAGTTGTGATATCCCGAATTTCGGCCCATTTTTGGGATTTATAAAACGAGTAATTTGTCAGTGTGCTTATAGTAAAATCTCGCCCGGGAACTGATCACTCCCGATGATCATTTTAAATTAGAGATTTCGCTAGAATCGCACTCGATCAAATTTGGCCGTTATTTGGATCCCGAACTTGACAGTCGATTTCCGGGAGTTTCGAGACAAAATAAATTGGACGGTGTCAATATTATGGTAGCCAACGTTGAGATTTTCAGGAATGATGGAAAAAGGGGAGTTTTTGACCACGTGCGAATTTGGACTAGTAGACCTCCCTCGTTATATTTTGGTCTAATTAATTTGGCCTTTGTCCATTTTTATATGCGAGGCTTATTTTGGACCGGTAGATCGTTTTCGGTTTTGAATTTGGACCATCGGTTTGCAAATAATATTTGAATCTTCAAATTATTTCTTATTCTATTCTCTCTCTCTCTCTCTCCCCCCTCGCTTCGCGCACGATGGCCCCCTCCACGTGTCTCCTCACGCTCATTTGTTTCCTCAGACCTTCTCTCTCTCCTCTCTCTTCTTCTCTCTCCTTTCCTTCTCCCTTCTTTCTTCTTCTTCCTCCTTCCTCCCGCATCACGTTCGCTCCCCGCTTCGCTCCTTCTCCCCGCTACCGACGCCGACCGCCCTGAGCTCGCGGCCGCCGCCGCGCGTCGCCGCCGTCGACAACTAGCTCGACCGCCGCGCCGCCGTCCGCCCGATCGCCGCCCGACCGGCTGGTCTCCCCTTCTGTTCCGGATCTCGTTTCCCGACCCTTCCGCGCGCGTCTTCCACCGTGCCGCCGTCCGTCGCCGCGCGCCTCACCGCCCGTCTAGCCGGTGTTCCTGTCGACCCGGAGCCGCTGTTCGTGCCGCCGATCGTCCGAGCCGACCGTCCCCGTCACTCCTTTCTCTCTCTCTCTCCTCCCGGCTTGGGCCGGATCGGCCGTGTCGGGCGTTGCTCGCCGCGCGAGCCGCCCTGGCCAACCGTCGTCCTGCCTCGGCCCGCCGACCGCCACCCCACCGCCCGGGCCGACAACCCGACACCATCCCCCCTCGTTCTCGGTCACCGCTCTCCTCCTCCTGTTCTACCTTCACCGCCCCTGTTCCCATCGCCGCCGTGGCCGCCGCCGAACGCCGGAGCCTGCTGTCTGTTTCGCGAGGCCCCGGTTCTCCCTTGTTGCCGCCGAGCCGTTTGCCTCATAGGACCTCCTTGTCGCCCGGCTGTGGCCGAGAGCCTCGCCAATCGCCGCCGCCGCCGCCGTTCCAACGACTTCCCCGCTGTCCAGCTTCATTTTATTGCTCAAATCAAGGTAAGCAACTCCCTAAACTTTGTCTAGGACATTGGATACTAGTAGACTTGTTTAGGGAGCAATTAGTGTGGATTGAGGGCTGTTTAAGGACTGATTGGGTTGCTAGATTTGTGGACTGATGATGGCTGGATTTTGAATTGTTTATGGCTGATTCGGTGATTGAGTATGGCGGGCCTTAATGGCTGGTTTGATGGAGTGACATCGGTTGGGTTATCGAGTTAAATGCGTTAAATCGTGTTGGAATGGCGAGCTATGTTTCGGTTGAGCGTTGCTGGATGTGTGGGCTGATTTGGTGCCCGAATCGCATATGTCGATGGTTATTTTGATGGCTGGATTTTAGCGGGATGAGGAAGTGACGTTGGTTGGGTTATTGAATGAAATGCGGATTAATATGTGTCGGAGTGGCGAGTCGTGTCGCGATGAATTAATGCCGGGTTAGTAGGTTGATTTGAAACTCCATTGGCGTATAATATTCGTTGTTTCTATGGCTAGTTGTTGTTGCCTTGAGATAACCGATTGCGAGTGTGCATTTGTGATTTTAATTGTTAGAATCTCGGTTGTTTGATTTGCTAAGCGTGGCTGATTTTGTGGCGGGTTACGACTGAAATTGTGGCTGAACTTATGGCTTGTTTGATGGTGGAATCTATGTCAAGAGCATTGGTTGTTTGTGTGTGATTCAATGCTCGATTGGCTGTCATTCATGTTGGTCACCTGTGATTGGGTTGACACAGTCTATGTGAGCTTGAATTACAGTGATAGATGTGCTTGTGTTAGCTTGACGTGTGACCGACACTTGGTTCGAGTGAATTGTATGGCGTGTGTGGTTGATTGAATAAGCCCGGATTGATCGGAGGACTGCCAACCTGTAGGGTGTTGACCCGGGTTGTAAGAAAGGACATGTAGGGTGTTGACCCGGGTGGTGAGAATGGTCCTGGAGCGTGTTGACGCGGGATAAAGCCCGGATTGATCGGAGGGCTGCCAGCCTGGAGCGTGTTGACGCGGGTGGCGAGAAAGGACCTGTGGGGTGTTGACCCGGGTCATGAAAAAGTTAGATGAATGCGCATGTGTATTGTACCTAATGGAATTGGTGAATGTACGTGTGAATGACGTTCGAGTGATTGTGATATGTACGTGAAGTGTTATTGTATTACAGTGATTTGACTAATGTGTAGAGCTAGCGTGTGATTTGAGACAAGGTAAGTACATTATATGAAATTTGTTATGTGAATAATTAGATTGCCTTTTTAGACTCGTCTGGGTACGCATTGGCCTATGTGGGGTTTAGGGGTCTGCTTATTGAGAAATATTCTCACGGTTATTATATAACCACTTTCAGATCCGCGACCGTGATCGACTTGAAGATGCCGCCAGAGTACTACAGGGATTGAAGGATAGATCAATTTACCCTGTCTTTTGAGTATATTTTTTTAGAGGAGATAGGCTTGTAAACCACCGCCCCCTTTTGAAAATTGTGGTTTTTAAATTGGTAGCCTGGATTACTGTTTTGTATTAATGACTGCTTTATGAAATTATTGTTTCGTGCTATCCTTTTGTCATCTTGTTAGTTGTCTAGGTTGTTTTATTTTGCTTCCGCTTGCGTGGTTCGTTTGGGTCGGCGACCCGTTCTGGGACGTCGCGTTCAATACGACAGTTGAAGAGGTGTCGCGAGCCCGTTGGGGTTCGGGGCGTGACACACAAAGCATGTAAGATGTTATAGATATATCTTGGAATACACTAAAACTATTATTCATGATAAGACATCATGATGTCTTTTTCATAAACACTTTGCATATGATATTAATTTTTGTTAATCCAAAATAATGAGATGTCACTGGTATTTTAAAAAAAATCTAATTTTCATGCAATGTTTTGATTTAATTTAATTTCATCTTTAAGGTTTTACATTGGAGAATTTAATTGTAATTTTATTTTGAAAAATCTTTAAAAAAATTTGCTTCATCTGATCATCCCTTATATATATACATACATATAGAGAGAGAGAGAGAGAGACCCCTATAAGATGGGATTCGATGGTGATATACACAATAAAAAAAGTGAAACTTTATAAACAAATGATTGTGCTAAAAAATTGTTATGTCAAACTATTTCTAGATTCTACTGGACAATTTATCCGTAAATTTGATTGACAACGTAGAAAAGAATTAAGTTGGAAATTCCTCTTTTCGACAAAACTAATTTTTGCAGAAGTAAAATCTAACAATTAAACAAATATAGTGCCTTTTAATATACACGGAAAATTTTGTCTTTTGGGTAACTAAATCCTACATAGAAAGAGAAAAACTAAAAAAAAAAATACTTTTTGGTAAGTAAATCCTACATAGTAACAGAAAAAATTGCAATTAATTGATTGAGGGCAATTTTGACTTTTTGGTGAAAATCGGGTGTATATAAGTAGTGAAAATAGCGCCGCCCATTAATTATGTTCATTGAAGAATCCATCTTAAAATTTTCAAGTTCGAAATTTTTTTGGAAATCTGCATACTCGCTAGAGTTAGGAATGGGGCATGTAAATATACCTTGCTTGGGGCATTGGGCAAGGACGGGACATCTCTAACAATAGTGTGGAGAGGATAAGGGGATGCAAATCCCCGCGCCCGCTCTACCTCATTGCCATCCCTATCCCGACCCTAAAAAACATAAAATTGCCGACATTGTATCGGACAAAAGTTCCTTTCGAGACATTTTTTGATCTGGGGGTGCAAAAACAAATATGGACCGATCCAAAAGCAGATCCAATCAAACTCGCTTGACAACATGCAAGTTATGCTCGAGAGAATAAGACGATGTTTTCCAACGGCTCCGGTGTCGGGGGAGAAAACCCGAGCCTAACTGTCATCTCGGGTCGGGTGGTATTTCGGCTCGGGTTCAGGAATGCTGTCGGGTTTGTGGGGAAGATCCGATCCGACCCGGCCCATTGGCATCCCTGCCATGGTCTCAGGACCGTCCTTACGCTCGCGAACCCTGAAAAGACCGATTTGCCCCGTACGGAACCCCTAATTTAAGAATCCGCACCCCATCCTCGTCCAGTGCCTATCGCGAGCTCTGATACCGCCGCAGCCCGTCGCCGCCGCCGCCGCCGTCGTCCTCCTCCGGCGATCCTCCTCGCCCTCGATTCGCCGGGTCCGCAATTCAGGTTTGAGTCCTCGTCGGGTCTCTCCTTCCCTTCGCTTCGCTTCGTGGGTTCGGATTTTTCCGTCGCGTTTGATGGTGCGACGATGTCGAAGCTTCGCCGGAATATCGTCTCTGTCCTTTATTCGAGCTGTTTGAACGATATCGGATGAATCTTCGCTTCGTTTCGGATCGCCCCATCGAGCTGGAGCCACCCTCCGTTGCTCTTGAGTAGTCAGTCACTCTCGTTAAAAATTTCAGCTTTAGTTGCTGGTGGATGATGTTCGGTCGATTGGACGTTATTTCGATCTTCGTGGCGCGGGCTGTGGTGACTTTTGTTAGAGATCTAATGGCTTTTCGATGCGTCAAATTTTTTGGGGGACTTGGGTAGTGGTGTATGTATATCGAATTCGTGGAAATGACGGGTTTAGCTTATGAATGAATGAGTAAATTCTCTTCGATTTAATGCCATTTGGATAAATTGAGCAGTAATTGATGTGTTTCTACCGTTGGCCGATACGACTTTGCCGTGACCGATGGGGAAAGATATATGATTTGCTTTCGAATTAGGAATGGGGGTTAGAGCGTCTGTTGCCGTCCGAATTTTTTGTATCCTTGCACATTTTATGTAGTTGCCTACAATTCGTGGAGTACTTCGGAGCAACTTCATAGCCCATATGAAGCTGACACCTTCTTTCCTCGAACTAGTTTCATTTTTCCTAATTGGGATGGCGGGCTTTCTCACGAAAAGTTACGTCGAGTCTTTTCAGTTAATGAGTCGATATTTGGCCATAACTAAAGCGGGTGGTATGCTGAAGTGAAGATTGAGACGAAATGTCTCACTTCTAGAGGATTGAGGACCGGGAAATAACCTGCTTGGCTCCTGATGTTACGTGTTGGGTTCTGGTGAATCGTTTATTTTCTTCTGCTTGATAAATTTTTTTGAAGTACGGTTATATCCTGATACTGACATCGTTCTAGTCATCGTATGACAGAGAATGCACTTAGTGTGGAGTTACTTGGGATAGAACTGCCGGTCCTCTTGCAAGCGAGGCCTTTCTACTTATGTGTGTTTAAATAGGATCTCTTGCTCAGTTTTAGGTTTGTACCATAAAGATATATCTCATCTGGAGATACACAAGCACGGGAGGAAATCTGCACTGTCGAGTGATCCAATGAAGAGCAATGACAACTTAATAGACTAAGCATTAAATAGTTGAATTTTGAGATCACCAGCTATTTACGTGCAGGACTTATTATTAAGTTCAATATCCCATAAATGGACTGGACAAGTCATTGGTGTACTATAAAATGATTAGAAATTCGTAGTTTAGGGATGCAAGGAAGGACATGTTGGACAAATGTCAGGTCACCAGAGAAATTGGGTGAAACATATCTGAATAGCAGAAATAGGATCCCAACAGAGCAAAACTTTGCCCAAAGCTGTTGAATCTCAAGTTAGTGAGGCCTCTCAACTGATGGGGAGTTTGGGTAGAGATGGTTGTGTTGAAGTAGCTTCCCCCTTTTTGTAGGCCGTTTGGTCAAGAAGGAGCATGTTCTTTCTTAGAATTAGAGACGTAAAGCTAAGATTACGAAATAAGGCTTTTTTTCCCTGGTTTCATTATTTGAAGTGGGGCCTCAATCTTGCATACCTTAAGTTTTTTGCATGGTTGTTGAGCTCATTTGCATCCTATTCTTATGGTACGTGATCAATTAGAAGTTGCTCATGCCAGTTGAGTTGCTTGCCATTGGCATATCATCTTCTAATCACATTGTGTCATGGAAGGCAAAACTTTTTGATCTGTGTGCTTTGGCTGCTTTAACGTAGATATTCATCAGGGTGTCTTTATGCACTAAATGTCAATTTTATATTTCTTGTTTTCCTGCGAGTCAAAGATTTCGGTGCGTCTTACGGAATTGACTATCGACAAATTCTGTCATTTGGATGTTAGTGCATTTGTATTCTTTTGATTTGCATTCAAATCCGAGCAAAACATAGCACCTCTCCTATAAGTTTGAACTCCATTTTGTTTGTTAAAAGCCTCTAGGCTCTCTGTGTGAGTAACCTCAATGCATACTTTTGGCTATTCCTCTTTGGCATCATCTAATGCTATTACTCCTTACACTCAATATGACGGTTTCTTATCTCTATGCTCTCTCATTTCTATTCTGCCGTGCAGGACGAGTTCTGGACTTGTTCTGCTGCTGAAATATTTCATGCAATTCCTAAATTCCCTTCAAACGAATTCGCTGATTACCACAGGAGAAATTTAAAAGCAACTTGGTCTCGCAAGGCTAACTGGTATTTTGTCTACTTTTTGTATTTCTTTCTATGGATGAGCTTTCTTCCTCATTTTTTGATAGTCCATTGCAGATTCTACTTTCCTTTGGAGGTTTGTGTAGTGTGCATTCTTACTGCACACGTCTGGATACATCCATTTAAGAGAGGATGGAAAAATTCTCTTAAATTGACTGGAAATAGACCTTCTCACTGATTTATGGCCGATCAATCTTTAAGCATCGTCAATGCTGATCATCCTCTAGCTGTAGGACTTGCTGATCATGAACATGCTGATCAATCAATTGCTGTAGCCGATGCTTCCTTGGCCAATTATCCTTTAGCTATTGGTCAAGAATTTCCCGATGTTGAAACTTGCAGGAGGACTCTGAAAGATACTGCCATTGCACTGCATTTTGATCTTCGAATAGTTAAATCAGATCGCAGCCGATTTATAGCCAAGTGCTCTAAAGAAGGTTGCCCATGGCGTATCCATGTAGCCAAGTGCCCCGGAGTCCCAACTTTTTCTATAAGAACCCTGCATGGAGAGCACACATGTGAAGGAGTTCACAACCTCCATCACCAGCAAGCATCAGTGGGTTGGGTGGCAAGATCTGTTGAAGCACGCATACGCGACAATCCACAGTACAAACCGAAGGAAATTCTGCAAGATATCCGTGATCAACATGGAGTTGCTGTCTCCTACATGCAAGCCTGGCGGGGAAAGGAGCGTGGCATGGCTGCACTTCATGGTACTTTTGAAGAAGGGTATCGCTTTCTTCCTGCCTACTGCGAGCAAATAAGGAAAACAAACCCAGGAAGCATAGCATCCGTTTTTGCCACTGGACAAGAAAACTGCTTTCACCGCCTCTTCATTTCTTATCGCGCATCAATATACGGATTCATAAATGCTTGTAGGCCACTCTTGGAGATTGACAGAGCACATCTGAAAGGAAAATACCTGGGGACATTACTCTGTGCCTCGGCTGTCGATGCTGATGACTCATTGTTTCCGTTGGCTATTGCTGTTGTTGACACGGAAACTGAGGAGAACTGGATGTGGTTCATGTCGGAGTTGCGGAAGCTTTTGGGTGTGAATACTGACAACATGCCTAGGCTTACAATTTTGTCTGAAAGGCAAAGGGGCATTGTTGAAGCTGTAGAAACGCATTTTCCAAGCGCGTTCCACGGTTTCTGCTTGAGATATGTCAGCGAAAACTTCCGTGACACTTTCAAGAACTCAAAGTTGGTTAATATATTCTGGAATGCGGTGTATGCCCTCACGGCAGCCGAGTTCGAAAGTAAGATCACAGAGATGATAGAGATTTCACAGGATGTCATACCCTGGTTTCAACACTTCCCTCCTCAATTATGGGCCGTGGCTTACTTTGAGGGTGTCCGATATGGGCATTTCACCCTGGGGATCACAGAGTTATTATACAACTGGGCTCTTGAATGTCATGAGCTGCCTATTGTGCAGATGATGGAACAAATACGTCATCAATTTACATTATGGTTTGACCAACGCCGGGAGGTGGGCATGAGATGGACATCAATTCTTGTTCCATCTGCAGAGAAGCGCATTCTGGAGGCAATCGCAGATGCTCACTGCTATCAGGTACTTCGTGCTAATGAAGTTGAGTTTGAGATCGTCTCGACTGAACGTACAAACATTGTGGACATAAGAACTCGTGTTTGTTCATGTCGACGTTGGCAACACTATGGACTGCCTTGTGCTCATGCTGCTGCTGCCCTCATCTCCTGTGGTCAGAACGTCCATTTATTTGCTGAGCCATGCTTCACCGTGGCTAGTTACCGAGAAGCATACTCGCAGGTGATAAATCCCATTCCAGATAGGAGCTTGTGGAAGGAACCTGGTGAGGGAACTGATGGTGGAGGCGCCAAGGCTGACATCACTATACGCCCACCCAAGACGCGCCGGCCCCCTGGCAGGCCTAAAAAGAAGGTTCTGCGAGTGGAGAACTTGAAGCGCCCTAAGAGGATCGTTCAGTGTGGCCGCTGCCATTTGTTAGGACATTCACAGAAGAAATGCACGATGCCTCTATAACCCCCCTTAAGTTAGATTTTTTTTATCACCCTTTATTTTTCCTCCCCAAATCATGTTGATCCGCCATAAGTGATTTAGTTTCTTATCTTTTTCCTCCTGGAGTTTGCTACAGAGTTCTTGTGTAATTTGTAAGCATGGAATGGCTGTACTTTAGCTATTTAGTTTCAGAATGGAAAACCATTGAGAGGCTAGGTTAGCTTGTCAATCTCATGAATGAGCATAAGTACGCGTGATCGACTAATTCGTGTATTTTCTTAGATCGGGCACTAATTCGTGTATTTTCTTAGATCGGGAGAGTTTTGCCGATGCGCACTTTCTATCACCTCTTCGCAGTCTTGCTTTTGTTGCTGCCCGCAAACATTAGCGATTTCGTCACCCGGGCACTTGTCAAGTACTCTCTTGTACCATACGAACAAAACCACTTCCATGTTACACTCTTGTGCACAGCTTTTTACGATTAAGTACAAAGACAGACACATTTCACGACGTACAATTCAGGGTTCTGATGAATTTGGAATGGTGAAGTGGATCTTTATAATTGCACTTTGCTTCCGCTGCAATGACCAAAGAAGGATAGAATTGCAATACGTAGGATGTATGTGATGCGTGAAATAGATCCAATAAGACACAAATAAATTCGAGTTTCACAGATTCAATTGCACGTCGCGTGAAATTGAGTACGTTAAGTTAGCGAACGATTGTTACTTGGTTACTTAAAAGCTATATTTAACATAATCTTTACAATGATGCGCCAGATAATAACCTATTAATGCGAGTGAGAATTTCTCCAGATCTTACGGCTGACTGTTGAAGAAGGCTCAAACAGTGAGTGTTCTCAGTACAGCACTAGTTTTCCAGAATGAATTCCAAACTGATCCCGGAATTTTCAAGATGTAGCCCTTGATTTGGCTTTTGATCGACGACTAAAATAGGAAAAAAAGGACAGGAAAAATGAAAAGAAAAAAAAACAAACAAACTTTATCGTGCACAACTCACTGCCAGGAAATTTACACTGGCTGAGAATCGAGCTTCAACCAAACATACTGGGAAGAGGCCTCACAGCCATAAAAGCATCCACCATCTGCCATCAGAACAGAAAGATAGGAAATATTATCAAGTTATCATGAATGCCTCCCTGCAGTAAAAAATGTCAAAAAAGGAAAAAACAATCGAATCACCAACTCCTGTTGATGAATTTACTTTAGGATTTTGTTCACGAAGCAACCGGTTAATGAAATTTCACACTTTCCAATGTACTGACTGTCCTCGTGTTGTGCACGATCGGTGTTTGGAAAGTTTCAGAGGGTGCATTGAAAATTGCATCATACGCTGAAAAAACTGTGACTCTTACTCGGGATCTGAGGACGAGACTTAAGCGAACTGCATTTGTGGGATTTGAAACTTCTAAATAGGAGAAGACATATTTTCAGCCCAAATCATTTTCTCTGTCAATTTTTTTTGTTAATCTAAGTCATACTGATTAGCTTAGGAATATAATATTCTTGCTGCCGTGTCTGTGTAGTTGGAGAACAAAGATCTTGTATACCATATACAAGGTGTTGCAGAAAATGGCCAATTTATCATGATCATATGGAAATACATTCAAAAGCGCATTCATGTGTTAGATTTTCATGTTCATTCACAAGGACTATAACCTACACTGCAATTATTCTCACCACATGATAAGACAACCTAAGAACATTCCAGGTTTAATCATATATGATCAAGAAATCATGCTTACGCATTCCAAAAGGTTACCTCATCTGTCACAGCAGCCCGAGCCTGTCGATGTCTCTCTACTATCTCAACCAGGATTTCAATAAGACGCTTCTTCACATCAAAAGTTAGCATGCGTCCCGATCCATACTCCTACAACAAGAAGATCTGGTAATCTCAAGCACAAAACTCAAATAACCCATTCATCAAATTTCCACAAGGAATGTAATCTCACCGTCCTTATATGTTCAAGCTCATCATCATCCTCAAGAAAAAAACTTAAGTATTTCACTGGTATATCGACCTACAATGTCAACAAGAACCAATTATGTAAGTAACATCCTCTATAATTTTTCATGTTAAATGACGTGAAAAGAGATGACAATGAAGTTGAGAAACAAACACTCCTACTACACCATTAAGTTTCACACCGAAGGACAACTGACCATTTTCAGATACTATTAGCTAAGAACAATACACCGACTAGCGAGCAAGATTTATCAAGTCAATCATTTCATTTATCTTCAAATCTAGAAATTTGACGCAGAGATTCAGGAATCCAATGCTGGACAAGAAAAATTCCGGGAAAAAAGTACCTCCAGGTTTGCACCATACAGTCTTTGCTTTTCCTTGGTGTCTTGTCCACCAGTAAATGCATATCTGTTTATCTGCAGACATAAACACCAGCAATTGATGGTTGCCAAAGGAATATCGAAGCTTCCGCCTGATAGATAGGTATGCAATAAGGATATATTTTGCTCCAAATAGAACAATGTATTTACCTAGACCAATAATATATTCATTATCCTTAAATGGAAATTTTATGATTGCATGAGTGCATCTGCAATCAAATTTCTCATCAGCTATTAAGTTACATGATATCCTATCTTTTTTCAAACGAATAAAGGAAGGGAATTGACGACATCACAAAGCATGCCCACACTGATAAATGCCATTTGCTCACAAGTCAAAAAATTTGGCAACATCTTTGCCAACATCTCAGACAGAACCACAATTAACAATATCTGAGAAACATGGATAATGCCAAATCCCTTAGTTATTCTGCCAAACACAATTCATCGAAATTCTGTGATGATCATGAAAAAAGAACAGGTGAAAGAATGCCAGCAGCAAACCTTGTCCTTAATGTCCTTTGCAGAATCTGTCACATATATGGCCGAATTTGGGTCACTAGCTGACATCTTCCCAGTATCCCCCTACATGATTTCATTACCCAATGTCAAACTCCACTGAAATGTGCATGCCCTTTGTGTTGCAGTAAAGAGAAGATGCGATTCTTTACAAGTCATATAAGGAAAACAAAAATCCAATTTCATTCACACAGCTAGGAAAGCATGGTCAACTTGATGTGGAAGAAGCACTGAATGGACAAGATATGCTTGCTGGTAGTAATGATATCATTTATGACATTGATGAGGACTTCATTCAACATACTAGGTGTTGGATAAGAAAACTTCAAAGTCAAATGCTGGAGCTTCCATGAACCTTAAGTTCTGGATTTGTAACATTTCAAATTATATCATGCAATGCCACATCCATGTAAGATAGCATGTTCATACTCAATTCTTCCCTCAAAGTTTCGGTAAACATGGCGACAATAGAATACTCACACTACCCAAGTAGAGTTCTTTTCTATTGCTTACATTGTAAACAATTCTGTCTCAAACATAGGAAAAGCAAAAAGCAGTGCACCATGGGATTCCTTCCTATTCAGGTTAGAGAGAGAGAGAGAGAGAGAGAACACAACCTCGAACAAACTCAAGCAACTACTCTGGCATAAAAATCTTCGTACTTTGCATAGAGAAAAACAAACCCTTTGTTCTAACCACTAAATGCATAGAATATGTGCAAGAATAAAATAAGACCTGAAGAGCGGGGAAGAATGAGGACTCAATCAGCGCAGGCTTGTGATATCCGATTCTGGGAGCTACATCTCTAGTCATTCTGAAATAAGGATCCTGACCGAAAAAAAAAAAGTTAAAATAGTAAGGATGGGATTTCAGGAAGAAGGGAGATATGGAAATTTAACCACAAACATAAGGAGGCACAAAAAGTCCTCTTTATCAGAATAAAGATGCCATTGGAAGAAAGATGATCGTTCGATCAACTGAGTTGATCCATATGAAATTATTCACGAGCTACAAATCAAGTAATACCATAAAATAGCATTCCATAAGATGAAAACTTCCTCTTGAATAGTCATAGGAAAATGTCATAGGACTAACTAAATACAAGGATTTGTTATTACTTTGGCAATTACACAACCAGAAGAACAATAAAGGGAGGTTTTCAGCAGTGAGAGAAACAGCCACCTGATCTATTGCACAAGGGATCAAGCATCGAAGATGATCTTTTCCACTGAATAGATGCGGAAAAGAAGATGGGAAAGAAGGTACAGCCTGCAAGATATAATGAACAGTGAGTTAGCCCAAGCAGAGTCTGTTAGTTCTTACGGCAATTTCACAGTTAGAGAGTACCAGTTTTCACTGGTCATGATACCAGAAGTCTATGTTTGTTAGCACAATCACTCACACCACTAGAAATAACAAGGAAACAGCCAAAAATCAAGCACAAACAATCAACACATAATCAGTAGATAGAGCCTTGGAGGATACCTGCACTGGTGGAAAGCTAATTTTTCCTATATGATCTTCACCGGTGAAACCAAAAATACCCACAGCCTACATACCACCAGTTAAATGACCAAGATTAACAGAAACACTCTTGGCTTAAACTTAAAGAATGTGCAAGAGGGCTGTCACCTCCTTTTAGAAAAAGAAAGCAAATTATAATAACCTTATTATATGTGACACACTTAGCAACCTTCACCATGTTCTTGTAGAAGGCACTGCAGAAACATCAAATAAAATATTTCAGACAAGGAAAATATCATGACCATTGTCTCGAAGTCACAATGATTCTAAGAATGAAGTTCATGGAAACCTTCAAACTAGGACAAATTCGGAACAGTTTACAAGTGAAGATTCACCAAGGAATTTTAGTATAATACCCAAGAGCTTGTGAGATAAGGAATTATAATATTTTCCAAACTTAATGCCGCACATTATTCTTACTTACCCACCAACATAATCAAAGTCAGAGAAAATGAAAGTTCTTGTTATGTCGAAACCGCAAGCAATAATGTCTTTAGCATTCTCCCTTGCAAGTCTTTGGCTTTCTTCCACAGAGAGGGACTTCCACATGCATTTCTCATCGTCGGTAAGTTGAATTACCAGAGGAACCTTAAAGGCATCTTGCAGATATCTGGAGACAGTGACACACGCTAAGCATCGCATGTAACCAGATCACAATTTCGGTTATAGGACAACTAACAGAAACTTTCCGGAAGAAATTTCCAGACATGTAATTATACGACGAAAATTCTCGACTAAAGATTCTTAAATGCTGTGATTACCCGAAAACGGCAACATATTTAGGTTACGAGCAGAGCAAACTACAGGATCCAATACTTTATAACAATGATTCATTCTATAATTAGCAAAAGTATATCCAAGATGTTTCAAACGTTGATAGTGAATTTATTACAAGGGATGCCGAAACCAGGATATATGCCGCTCAATCCGTCAATCAATTGTAGAGTTGATGTAAAGTCGGTTTACAATCACGATTACAATTACCGTGGCCAAGCTCAAATTTTGCCAATAAAAGGAATAATTCAACGGTCGAACGACCAATGTATCGCAAAACAAAGGAAACCAAAGCTCAACTTCCCCTTGCCACACAATCCCCTTCGCTAAAATATTCAGTTTGCCAGTTTCTTAACCCGCTGTCTTCTCTTTGAACAGCACAAGATGATCCATTGTCGCTAGCTACATCACGCTAAACGCAAATGCTACAATATCAGTATACAGTAAGAGATGAGCGACTGACTTGGTGAACATGAAAGGGATCAGGTGGCCCAGATGCAAAGCCTCGGACGACGGCCCTCTGCCGGTGTAGAGGTAAAACTTGTCCCCTCTCTCGTAAGCGTCCAGGACCTCGTTGAAGTCCCTGGCCACAACCAAAATCCAAAAACGCGATGAGCTCCAGCGCGGAGCGATCGAAGGAAGAGAGAGAGAGAGAGAGAGAGAGAGGAGGAAAAAGGGGGCCCGGCGGCGAAGGCGAGACGACCTGTGAGCGAAGAAGACGCCGCGGCGGAGGAAGACGTGGGGAGGGCGGGAGGTGAGGCGGTGGACGCGATCGATCAGGGACCGGTCGAGCCTCTGGCACCCGAACTTGTCGATCAGCTTGTCGTAGTCGATCTTCCCCGACACCTCCCACGGGTTCACCTCCGCCTCCCCTACCGCCTCCGCCGCCGCCGCCGCCGCCGCCGTCGCTGCTCCCTCCTCCTCGCGCTTCTCCATCTGCGCCCTTCCGGTTCGACCAGCCGAGGGTGGGGGGAGGCGGGGGGGCGCGGCGTAGAGAGGCGGCTGTATCTGCGACGGCCGCCGGCGGGGGATGGGAGAAGGGGAAGGAGGGATTGGCGCCTCAGGGGGCGTTTTGTGCTTGAAGATGACGGTGGGCTGCAGAATCTTATTCGGCCGGGCCTACAGCCCAACGAATTCAATATTCGATGTGTGATGATTCGACCCGATTTTGTGCTCGTTCTAATTGGGGAATTGATTCCCCGCTACTAAAGTGATTGGCCGTGAAGGAGTCCTCTTGTCTTTCACGGATTCACGAGTTCGATGCGCTGTCACGACTTTCTGACTGTTAGCATCTTGGTCGTGCTTTGATGACGGGATCATCAGCATCGAACCTTCGGGATTGCGGATGGCGTGGAGTAATAAAGGCATGTTTGGTAACCGGGCAAACGCTGCCCGATTCTATTCTTTTGTTCCGGGGAACAGAAAAAAAAAAAAGAACGGAAATTCGTTTGGTGAATTTTTTGTTCCCGGGCAAAAATTTGTTCCCAGAATCAGTTTTGGAACAGAATCAAGAATTAAAAAAAAAAGTTGATTATTGATTCTTTTATTCTTGATTAGGGGAACAAGAATCAGAAATGAAAAAGAATTTTTTTTTTTTCATCTTCTTCTTGTTCTTTCCTGGCTTGTGACCGGTGGCGGCCGGCCACAGGCCAGTGCTAGCGAGGGCGAGGGTTGGACCCTCACGGCCCGGGCAAGGGCAGCCCTCCCCAAGCCACGAGCCGTCCTCGCCTAGGCCGCGAGCTGCAAGGGATGCCCTCACTTAGGCCCCGAGCAACGAGGGCCACCCTTGCCAGCCATGGGCCAAGGAAGGAGAAGAAGAAAAAAAGAAAGAAATATTAAAAAAATTCAAAATATTATTAAAATATTATTAACAAAAAGAAATTTTGTGTAATTACCAAACGTATTTCTATTCTTTTTGTATTCCATGAATAGAAATTTTTTGCAGTTACTAAACGCTTTCAAATGCTCAGAAATTATTTCCAAGAATGGAATAAAAAAAATTCATTTATGAGTAGAGAATGGTTATCAAATGCACCCTAATCGTAATTCAAACTGAACAACCCACAACGGACGTGTCTATATCTGTTCGTAAGAAAATGCATGGTCCGTTGAAAATTTTAATTATAGTACATTAGCCCGTCTAGTTATTAAGATTCATTGTTTTGCTTGGTTGCCATTGTACTGCTTGCCCAAGGACAGCTATGAACGTGAGAAATACTCTCTTTTGGACCCTAGCGGTCTCTCTTAATCTCACACATTAGAAAATGAAACCCTAATCTACTTAGTGAAGTTTCTTTCATGCAAAACATGACAAAAAGCATAATGTTTGGTGCTTTGCGAGTTCGGCAATCCTAGAATTTATCAGCCAATGGAATACACTCAGGAAAGATCAGGACTCCTCCACTCCATCCTATAAGTATACCTCATTCTTATCTCTTCTATCCCAAGCTCACAAAGCTCCTCCAACTCCACTCTCCCTGATCATATTGTTCATATTTCTTTAGCTAGCGACCTTAAAGACATCATGGGTATGTTCACTTTCACAAATGAATACACTTCCTCAATCCCTCCGGCAAAATTGTTCAAGGCCATGGTCGTGGACTCACATAAAAACTTATGCCTCAAGCTATTAAGAGCATTGACGTCATCCAAGGCGATGGAGGGGCTGGAACCATCAAGCAAATCAACTTCATTGAAGGTAATCATGCTTTTTTGCTATATAAATGTGCTACTTTTCTTGCTTTAACAAATATTAGGGTGTAGACAAGTATACCATGATGTGATCTCCTTCTATTGTATACAGGTGGTCAGCTTAGCAGCATGAAGAATCGTGTGGATGAGCTGAACCTAGAGACATTCACATACAAGTATACCATGATCGATCTTAAGGAGAAGTTTGAATCTATTGTTTACGAAGTCAAATTTGAACCAACACCGGAAGGCGGGAGCAAGAACAAGATGACGAGCACGTACTACACGAAGGGAGATGTTGAGCTTAAAGAAGATGACGTTAAAGGCAGGCAAAGAGCGAGCTTTCGGAATGTACAAAGTCGCCGAAGCATACCTTCTCCAAAACCCCGACGCTTATCCTTGAAATTTCAAATGCTCTGTTGAATAATTTAAGAAGCCCTAACAATAAGTTCTCGTGATGTTCTATCTTCTGATGGAAGTACCTGAGTTACTTTACTTCTTTATGGTTGTAAACTTACTTAAATTTGAATGGCAATAAAGATACGCACTTTATAACTTGCCCTGTGAGAACACAAAGTCCTATAATTGCCCTGTGAGAACACAAAGTTTATTCCGTTGAAACAAGTACTAAGGGAAGTGTCGTGATGAAAACTCATTAAACACTTGCATAGATGTTTACTTGTGCACATCACAAGGCTCTTGAAAAAGCTTCCCACAAATATGTTACCGGCCTTTTAACTCCATCACATCATCAAATTTTATGTATTCTTTTGTCCTTTACTTTATAAGTAAATAAATTGAAGATGAAAGAGGATAGATGTGTGAGTGCGCTTGTTGGCAGAAGCCCAATTGAGCACGCAAGATAGAGATTTAAAAAAAAGTCAACATTCCAATTTCAAAAAAGGGACAACATTGGAAATTGTGGAACCAGTTATAAGCCATTCAAGTCATCTTATGCGTATTCGATGCGGGATTTCAATACACTCCAACCCTTCAAGCACTTGCGCGCATCTCTAACGAGTCCGTCCTCCGGCAATGGGCTTACGACATAGTTTTACGGTTCCTAAGGTTGATCTTATCGAAACAAGCATGCTAGGCTCTATAAGGTTGGCCCGGTCACATCTCTCTCATCTTCACTTTAGTTATCGAAAAATAATATCCATGAACCGTCAGAGTATGCATATCTTTAATAACAGTCCACACGTTTTGATTTTGGCTGATCTGTCACTCTAGAAATCAAGGCTTATGTAACCGGATCTGTTTCAGTGTCAACTTATGAGATATGATTAAATTAGGACTAAACGAGCATATATAATCACAACTCTACACTTTAAAAACTTTCATCCATTCCATATTTAGGATGGGAAAATAACTTCCATCGATAATATTAGTTGTATTCACATGCAATTGAAAACTTGGATTTATATGTATTTTTTTAAGACGGTATAGGTGAAGTTTTGATAAAAATGCAAGTATCTTCGGTCACGATTTGAAACAAAACCAAAATGATTTTGGTTTGGTTCGGCTCCAATTATTGAAAACGGTTTGATTTGGTTTGAGTTTTTATCAAATCATATTTCAACGTTTTGATTTGATTTGGCCTTCAAACCACACCCAACTGCAACATCATCACCCTCACTCACAAATCCTTCACACGATTGCATGTACAAAATACGTGTTGTGCCTTGGGACCAAACCTCCTCGATAATCAACCCTGTCATTTATGGTTCCTTTTCCCCCCCGGACACACTTCGAATGTTAAACATGTACACGGTGGAACAAAATTTATATTGATCGACACTCCGGCGATAAAAAATTTTAATGCTATTTGGAATTAGGGCAACGTATTAAAACCGTACCAATGCCGGAGATATGCGACCAAAACGAACAATTAGATAAGATCACCCAAAATGAAAGTTTACTTCTACGTGCTAACCCAAAATCATTAATATTCGTCATAATGCTTAGAAAAAATTGTGAAAAGACTTAGCAAAATGAGACAAAACGAAGAGAGTGAGGGTTAAAAAAATAGAGATAATTGTTCAAAGGTTTAATACCACAGAAAATCCCAAACTGGTATACTTGTGACAAATTTACTCCAAACTACAATCTTAAATTGGTACACCTGTAACAAATTTGGCCTCTGTTGGTTTCCGTTAAATTTTATTGTCAAATGGCTGAGTTGGATGACACGTTGCAGTTGACGAGTGTACCAATTTAGGGTTTTACCCCTCTATTTGTCACAAATTTACCAGTTTGTAATTTTTCGTGGTATTAATTCAATTTAACGGAGAGTAAATTTATCACAAGCATACTAGTTTAGGATTTTTCAGTGTATTAACCCTTGTTCAAATCAACTGTCCGCTCATTTAACAATAGTTGGTACAATAATGCTGCATTTCCTCCTCAGGCTATCGGATGTCTAAAGGGCATATCGCAAAGCAGAAGAAAGAAGCGAGACACTTCAATCATCTCTCTCTGTTCAACAATGGATGTCACCACTGCATCGGCGGCGAAGCTGGTGTTTCCGTCGTACCTGGGCCGCAAGAATCGCCGGCCCAACCCCATCCTCCTCCGCGTGCAGAAGGAGGATCGGAGCATGCCGCTCAAGGCCCTCACGGCCGACCATTGCATTCACAAGGGCTCCTATACGAGGCCGTGCGGTTTAACCACGGCGGCAGCCAGGTCCCGGAGGCCAAGTCAGCAGAGGATCTTGGCAAGGATGTCATCGACGCCCAGGACGATTATCGTACGAGGGGACCGATCCTTTTGATCGATTTAGAAGAGGATTGTACTTTTAAACTCGACACTTTCATCGTGAGGTACCGCCAATCATTTTGATTGATTTAGCAAGAGGCGGTACCCTTTCATGACCACTTCCGATATTTAATGCTATATTTTCTTAGTAAGTGTCACAATCCGAGGTTCGTTGAACGATTGAGATCTGTTGTATTTCAATCTAACGGTGAAAAATTACGAGGACCGAGCGTCTCCCGAAATCTCGATCCAAGAAAAGTTTAGAATTTTCAAAACTTCGTGTTTTTTCGTATTATATGTAATTAATGTATTGCTATTCCATATATCAAATATGATTACTAAGTGGAACAAGAGCAATTATAAGAACTGGACAAACTGTCTAACAACAGAAACAGAACTTTGACCGTCGGAAGCCATTCTATCATCATAACCCTTGATTAGATGAGCTTTATATTTAATCTCCATAAAATGGACGGCTACGATTATGTATGATCATTAGATCC